GAGAATATGTTCTTCCTTATTTTGTTTGGTTATTACCTTAACTGTTTTGCAACAACTATCTTTGCAATCTAATTTGATTTTAGGTTCACTAGGGTTACTAGAGGTTGACTGATAATCTGAAGAACTTTCAGAACTGCTTGAGCAATCTGAACTTTCTTCATTATGGGTAAGATTGTTTAACCAAAAAATGTTGAAAATTTCTTCTTCATCTTTTTGGGCTAGATTCAATCTTTTGACTTGTTTTTTAACTGGACAGTCTGGGCTGATATGACCTTTTTTGCCACAGTTGTAACACTTAACTTCTTTATCTTTTTTACTATCTTTTTCTCCGGATTTTTTCTTATAAGTTTTACGCTTATAAGGTTTTCTGGGTTTTTTACTAAATTTTTCATAGTGTGTGGGTTTACTAAAAGTCTTTTTACTACATTTGTAGTGCCTTTTACTACAGGTATAAGGTTTATGTGACTTTGGTTTTCGGTGAGATGGTGCTACTGACCGGAGACTATATTGTTTGCAGAAATCGCTCATTTCATATTTAGCCTTTTTCTTTTCATCTTTTAATTGTTTACTAATTTTCATGTCAATACACATTCGCATACCTTCTTTTTGGATGGAACTAACAAGATCACCGTAAGTTAGTGAATCATATTTAATGATTCTAGTTTCTTTACTAAGTGCTTTCCTAATCTTATGGGCAAAGAGATTAGGTAGGCCGTTGACAAACTTTTCTTTCCAGAAAGATTTATCACAGTCTGGCCTAAGCATCACTCTAGAGATGAATAAATCTTTGTACCATCTGAAATCACTAAGTGTTGGGCACCTAAGGTTACTAAGCTAGTCATGGATCCTGACTTCAATGTTACTGGGTGTGCCAACAAAGTGTTTGATTATTGTGAAGATGAGAGTGTTAATCCCATCATATTTGGCTATACCAATTCTTTCATTAAAAACTGGTATACCTTCATCATCAAGAACAACAACATATATTAATCTATCTCTTGATTCATGTGTAAGGTAGTTAGTCTACCAATTGCTTAACACTCTTGTGAATCCAGAGGTGATCATATCCACTAATTCTAGTTCGGTGACGTCAAGATTTGAGACATAACTATTAGCAACCATGGAAAGGTGGCTAATTTTGTTAATTATTTCTTGTTCACTTAATCCATCTATGTTCCATTCATAGAGTTTATTGGATTGAACAGAAAACTGATTACTAATATTTTTCTCTTCAAATTGAAGATCTGGTAGTGTTGATTTGGGATACCAATTTTTACTAGTACTGGTTGGATTAACTTTTGAAAAAGTTAATTTGTTAATTTTTTGGTTACCAAGCGATTCTTCTAATTTTTCAATTTCAGAATCAAGTGAGCTTTCTGAACTACTGGGTTCTGAATCATCAGAAGTTTGGTTGATAAGTGTTACTTGGGATGGTCCCAATTTGGATTACCTTTTAGAGATAAGTTCTTCAATTTTGTGAATTGTTTGCTTATCTTTTAAGCCTAAATTAGTTCTATCTTCAGGTAGGTTGATTAGAGGCTTCCATAATTTTTTACTTAAAGATGACTTGATTTCATCGATTTTAGTTTCGATTTTATCAAGCTGTTTTCCTAAAGTTATTAGGCTTTGGTTGGTGAAGTTATTTTGCTCAATTACCTTTTTATCAGATTCGTCGGTGGGAAGTTTAAAAGGTGAGGCTGTAACTTCTTTATTTAAATGGCTGAAAACTATGGTTTCTGCCGAAGGATGACTAGATGATATTGTGGAATTCTCTGGGGTTTTCCACTTGTGTTTTGTTACTACTTTTACTTCTGGGTGATGGGTTTCCAGATAATCAAAAAATAGAATTTCTGATTCTATTTTGTGCATTAACTTAACCCATTGTGTCATTATTTCTTTTTGTTGATTACTATTGAATCTTTTATAGTATTTCTGTCTTTTAGATTCATTTTCTATAGATTTAAAATCTTTTCCTAGCTTAATCATGTTAGGTAAGAATAAACTATTTTCTTTCCTAATCATGAGCAACTGATGATTGATTGGCGCAGTGCTTTGTAGATCACTGGCTGTAGGTGAAGGGGTGAAGTCCTTTTCCTCCTCTTCATCTCTAGGACTGGGTTGTGGGACACTCTGATGTGGAGTGTAACACAGTCTACTAATTTCTGATGTAAAATTATCAATTTCTTTTATCTTAAATTTTCTTTCTAATTCATTAACTAGTTCTTTATCTCTTCTGGAGATACTAGAATATAAATCAGATTTTCGAACTTCATTGATTTTGATAGGCTTACTAAATGATCTGTTGGATCTGCTAGATTTGGCATAATCAAAGGAGATTCTTATTAATCCATCAGATAACTGTTGAATGTTCTCAAGGTTAGCTGCATTGTTTTCACTATCTTTATTATAATTTTCATTTTCAACTGTCCATGACTCTGGAAGTTGAACATTCTTCCATTCAAGTCTCTTTGGGACTTGGATGTTAGAATCACTAGTACTGGCTTTTTAATGCATGTACATTCAGGTTTGTGGTCATGCATTTATAATAAATCCTATAAATAAGTACTAGAGATTGAGTTTCTTTTACTAATTTGGTAATTTGTCCACAATGTATTATCTCTAAGATTAAACCCATTGGTGTATTTTTACAACTAAGGCTTAGGGTAATGTCTGGAAAGCAGTTAAATTAATTGGTCCATTATGGAGACCAGTCTCCATTATTCCTAAAATGCTAGGTTCATATTCGATAAATCTAGCATCTCTTAGGATTAATAGAGCTGCTGCATCTTTACCAGGTGACATTAAAGGTTTAATTGCTACTTGAACTAAACCTAGGTGGATAAAATTAAAACCTTTTGCCATATGTTTCTTTAAGGCTTCTTTGCTAATTAATTGACAAGTTTCTTCTTCTTTACTAAGAGCATAAACTTGTTCAATTGTTTTTACTTGGAGTTCCGAGTTGAATGTTTTTGGGATCCAACTGTTTTGTAAATATTTCGATGGGATACCTTTGGGATTTTCTATCTACTCCAATCTACTTGTGACTCATTGTGTTTTTTTTCTTCCTCGTTTACTATATTAGGTATAGTACTAAATGAAGAACTAGATGAGCTAGCCATAGAGTTAGATATGAATAATCTACTCATTATTAAATATAAATTTTCAATTATGTAAATTAATGTTTAAGTTTGACTCCATTGTGCATACCCCCTAACATACATGTTCTCATGATACGTCTCTGTTTTTCCAAAAAACTGTCTCACCAGGACTTACAAACGAGACAAGGAGACACTCCCTCTTGAGTTGACAAAGGTTAGGTGACAAGGGTAAACCAAATTAAACAATGATTTACTAAATTGAAATGAAAGAAATTTAACACAAGTAAAATAACTCAAATATAACTGCATGAGTAGTTATCCAGGCCGTGAAATGGCTTTGATACCAAAATACAACAAAGTGCGGAACAAACAAAAGACATCAGGAGAATCACAAGCTATAGATGTAAGGACTGGTGATGAATTTTACTAATGAAATAACATGACAACTTAAATAAAATAAATTAACATGACAACTTGATATATATATATATATATATATATATAAATAACATGAAAACTTGAATTTTTATCTTCTGCATATTTTTTTCCTAAAAAATCACATCACTCATTTCTATTACATGTTCAATCATTTAATATTTGATTAATTTATAATTTACCACAATTTTTATTTCAAACATTATTCATATACGATAGTATATACATGTTGAAAAAATTTAATATAGTGTAACTGATTTTTTGGACCCTCAAATTTTATATTTTATCGTACCTTTAGACACGAGTTATAACTAGTAAATATATAATAGTATAATCGACAAGACCCAATTGTATATTGTATATAGGGATAAATAACTCTTTCAATATTATCACAAATTAATCCTAATCCGGAGCTAATAGCCATCAGAATGTGTTGTTTTTCTTTTGAAGAGATATTGAAAAAAACATTAAAAAAAAAAGAATAATATAAATAATAGAATAGATATAGAAATCCCGAGATTGTGATATAGTTGATCTCGACCCTTTTATCAAGAATTCAAGATCTAATAGCCTGCACGGCAAGGTTCTAAGCTCCACTCTTCCCCATTTTCGCTTATGAGTAATTAAAAGTTTAGGTGTAGTAACCAAAACATTTTTGTATATCGAGTGTATCATAGTCTCTTCATAATCAAAACATTTTTTTTTATGAAACACTGTTTAACATAATTAATTAAATAAATTGAGTTAAGATTAATTAATATTTAAGTAACCGATTCGATGCAATTTTCATCTTTAAACAACAATAATTATTCCTTCCGTTCTTAAATATTTATCGTTTTATGAAACTAAAGCTTAATTAATATTATTTTTTTTTAAATTTATCTTTAATTTTCAATGTATTAGATTAGGTAGAGGCTAAATATTTTTATTCTTTTCCTTCTCAATACATATTGAATAAGAATATTTTAGTTTATATAATTATTTTTTATTTATATTACAACTATTTAATAGCTTCGTTAATTCTTGTATAAAAATTTTAAATGACAAATATTTAAGAACGGAGAGAGTATTAAACTAGACACTACTTTCAAAGAAGTAACAGTTCCAAAACCTAAAGTTTGTACCTAGGAAAAACAGAGAAAATATGGTAACACGACAGAAAAAAGAGGGGACAAATTGTTGGTAATGTTAGCCAGATACAGGAGTCGTAGATTATTTATTAGGTACATAAAATGAAGTGTACCACCTCAACCGCTGCTAGTTAGAGACAGAGGCCTTTTCGACACCTCGCTTTTATGACGGCTTGCCAGCGCAGTGGGACCAACCGACCCCCCATTCAACAATTCAATCGATTCGCAGCAGAATATACTTTCCTCTGCTCTGCAAAATCCCTTCTCTCTCTCTCTCTCTCTCTTCATAATTATCATTATCATCAAATTCCGAATTCCACTGCTCTCTTGGTCAGCTATGGAGATTTTCTTTGAACTCCTCTTCACTGTGGGTCTCTCTGTTCTTGTTTCTTTCATTCTTGCCGAGCTTCTTTCAATGATGTCGTCCAGTGGCGTCGCTGCAGACGACGTTATGTTGGGATCACGTATGGACGTGGTCGAGAAAAGGGTTTTTCATCCACAAAAGCAGGACCAAAATTTGGTAGTTTGTGATTTTGAGAGTGAGAAAAACATTGGGCTTTTTGGAGGAGTGGGAAAATTCAATGACCGTGAAGATAGCGAATTTCAAGCAATATGCGATAATGAAGAGGTTTCTAGGGAAGTTGGAGTTCTTGGGTTTGAAAAGAAGTCCACGGAAGTAAAAGATGGTGAAATTGATACAAGAGAAGTGAAGAAAGATAAAGTAAGCGTCGGTGGGGATGACGTAGAACAGAAGGTAGTTGATGGAAGTTCTATGACAGCGACGTTTCGTGAAATTGAGGTAGAAACGGGAAGTCTGGTTGAACAAAGTCCGGAGAGATTGGATTTTCGTGAAATTGAGGTTGGATTGATAAAGGGTGTTAGGGAGAATGAGAATGATGGTGTAAAAAGTAGTGATGTTGATGGTTATGATGGATCGTTTGATGATTGGGAGGGGATAGAGAGAACTGAGTTGGAGAAGCGTTTTGGTGCTGCGGTGGTGTTTGTGGGTTCCAAGAGCAGTGCTGCTCTTGTTTCTGGTCTTGACAGCGATGTGAGGTTGCTGTTGTATGGGCTTCAAAAGGTTGCACTTGACGGGCCTTGTCTTAAGCCGCAGCCTATGGCATTGAAGGTTTCTGCTCGTGCGAAGTGGTATGGAATTTTCATCCTCTGTTCTTTCAATCTTGTAACGCATGAATGAGTAGTTTATCTGTACGACTATGCCACCAAACTCTTATAGCTTGAATATTTGCAATCCTTGGGGCATTATTTGTTGCATTGTGTTTGTAGATTATGGCACATGATAATATTGTGTAACATAAACCAAATGCTAGGCTTTTGCCTTTTGGGTGTGAAGTGTGGGATTCGAGTGTGCGAATTTGTGATTGGACTATGGAGTATTTGGGTTTGAAAATGTGTATTGCTGATCACGAAGA